TTTTTTACCATTTTTATTCTCATCTTTTTTTTAATAAATCTTAAGAATTCCGAATATTTGATCCATAAATTTTCTCGGTGTCAAAAGCCAGTCGTCGATAATATCACATTTAATTCGTAAATCACTCATTTCAAATAGAATTAAACTAGTTACCTTGAACTTAAATATTTATTTTCAACACTATTAGACCACCAACCACTTGGCATTCTCATCTTTTAAACATATCATTTTACTGATTAATCATGTTGGGTACTGTGAATATCTTTGCAAGAACTACGAATGAAGCATATTGACCATCTCTAATGTTTGTTTTTCTCAATCTTTTAAATTATAACGGTTATCTTCTATTATTCTTAAGGTCTAAACTCTAAACTGGTTGTTAAAAGGTATAACTTTTTTTCATCCATATTAAATGTACACGAGAGAAAATGATTATATATTTTTCATCTACCAATTGTTTTCCTCAAAAAAAAAACAAAAATCGTTTGATCAAAATAAAAATATAATTTTTTTTCTGGTGTGTGCAGTAGAACTTAGAGGGAAAAACAAAAAAATTCTTCTTCTACAATCCGTAACTCAATATCGGGTGTCATTGATAACCTTCTACCTCTACAGTACGTGACATAATACTTTATTGTGACTTATCAGTAAGCGGTTCTAGAAATCGGAATTAAAAATAAATACGAAACATTAACCATTTTATGTTTCTACCTCTTAACTACTCCACAATAGCTTCTCACTCACTCACTCTCTCTTATTGCTAGTAAATTTCTTGTTTTATGTCACCTATGGATTAATCTAGTGTGAACTAATGAACTTTTCAGTTGTTTAAATGAAATCTCCTTAAAACTATTTTTCATAAGTAAAGTAAAACAATATATAGTAACTAAGAATAAATTCTAGTACCCCACGGCAGAGGGACGTCATCTTCTTTACCCCAAAGCACACTCCACTACGTGTCTTATTAATCTTGCTATTGGTCGTCTATATATACTTTGTCCCTCAATAATTCAATAAACAAGAAAGATATAAAAAAAACTTGCAATTCT